CCGGGGAACCCCGGGTACCCCCCTCCCCCTCTCTGGGGAACCCCAGGCACCCGGCACCCCCCTCTGGGGAACCCCAGGGATCCCCCTCCCCCTCTGTGGGGGTCCCCAGGCACCCCTTCCCGCTCCCTCCCCCCACCCCCTGCTGGGGAATCCCCGCACACCGGGCTCTGCCCCACACCCAGGCACCCCTTCCCGCTCCCTCCCCCCACCCCCTGCTGGGGAATCCCCGCACACCGGGCTCTGCCCCACACCCAGGCGAGGGGCAGCATTTGGTCTCTGTCGTGAGGGTCTCTCCTCCAGGTTCTGGGCTGGTGCAGCCACAGGCTCAATTCCTTGTCAAAAACATTCTTCTAGTTCAGAATTGGTTTGGTTTCACTCCTAAAAGCGCTCGCTTTTCTGCCTTAGTGCCATTCCCTGCTCCTCGGTCAGGCTACTCGTCTTTAAACCTTGGAGGGATTTTATTGTTGTGTTGGTTCCTCTCCTTTGCACAAGATCAGCTCTCAGGACTCATTGCAAGAGGCCACTGCTGAGGGAAAGAAATTGCCAGTTCAGCAGCCATGTATTAATATGCAGTGTTAATATGGGTGCCCACAGGTCATGGCGATTTTATGAAGAATTGCTTTGTCAGTGGTAGTATAGATGCATTGCCATCAGTTTGACATAAGCGGTCATTAATAACAGAAGTCGTACACTTCAGCTGTACTGTCACGTAGTTTCAGAGTCCTTCCAAGTAGTAAGTATTGACTGTCACATCTTTTCTTGCTATCCCAAACAATGCAAAAGAGCTTCTTCAGTATCCCCATTTTCCTCTGTTTAGTTTCAAATTCACATTTGCAGTTCCATTTTTTTTAATATTCCTCTTTCAAAAGTGACATAAAATTGGCAGAGATTTACAGCAGCTCCGTAATTACACTTCCCTGATTACAGTGACAAGAAACAGTGTTAACAATATTAAGAGAAAAACGTGTGCATTTCCTTAGGAGGTGAAGTTCTGATTGGCAGCTGGCTGGCATATAAATGAGAAGCAGTTCTGCTAGCTTCCTGGAAAGCAGTGACTTTCAGCCGGCTCAGGCTAATGTTGAGGGGCTCTTGCTACATTTCAAAGGCAGAGGCACAGCAGTCAGGCCTGGGGACAAGCGGGGACTGCTTCAGTCCCTGCTTGCCCCGGGTTCCCCGTTATGCCTCTGCCTCTCCTGCCCCTTCCCCCCTTCTGCCCTGTAGAGGCAGTGCTAGGGGAACTGGGTCCTGATACAGAGGCAGCAAGGGGCAGAGAGACAACTAGTCAAACAGTGACTTAGCTACTCAATAAACCTATGATTCTCTCAAGTACTGGGAAGTACTTAGGAGTACTTGAGAGAAGTCTGGGGGGAGTACGTCAACACAACTGAAATTTGGAGAAAACTGAATTTTTGTTTTAAGTTTTATAGCACTTTATTATTTTTGTACTTTTTACACCCAAAAATGTCATCGCCTGCCTGGCTACGATTAAGTTGTATAAACGTGTTGCAATGGTAGAAAAAAAATTGTGTGTCTTAAAACTGTAGATACTGGGAGTACTTATAATTTGTTTTTAAATGGGTACTTTATAAAAAAAGGTTGAGAAACACTGCGGTAGTCGACTAGTCATTTACATCCCTAAAAATGATACTGCTGAATTTGTGCAAAAATTGTAAATAAAATAACTGAGACCATCTCACTTCCAAGAGTTTTATTATTAATTTTCAGACCATTTGGTAGATGACCAGAAATTTGTTTGTGGACCTCTAGTAGTCTACAGACCATGAGGATCGCTGCTTGTTAGTCATTTGACAGCCCTGACTTCCCAGATCCAGGCAGGTTTTGTTAGCCTCCTGGTTCTCATTTCCTTACATAATTCTCTGGAAATTGCGCAGGTGCATAGGTCCCAGTCCTGCGAGTTAAACTGCCTAGGCAGCTAGTGGAGCTCCTTGCAGGCCCAAAGAGCTCCCTTTTCATGCCACCTTGCAAGATCAGAGATACTACTCTGATGAGTGCTTTAGAAGTACTTGATAGGGACCCATTACAGGCCAGGTACCACATAAACAGAGAAGGGTGATGGGAAAAGACCTAATTTTTATGGAGCCCTCCAAAGCAGGATGTGAACCGTTAATGGTTATCCAGTAAGCATCACCCGGTTGACCATTGCCTGGTGAGCATCCCATAGAGAGCTGCTCTAGTCCTGCAGGGCTGCTGGCTCCCAACCCACGTGGCCTGGGAGTTGGCAACATCACACAGGGCCAGAAGCAGCAGCGGGTTGAGAGCCAGCAGCTGCCCCCTCACCCTGGCTACTACTTCTGCCCTGCACAAGGCTACCGACTCCAAATCCGCTGCTTGGGAGCTGGCTGCCCAGTGTGGGGTCGGAAGCAGCCAGACTGGAGCAGCCCTCCTCCCACATCCCGGTTTAATCAGTTAACCAGTTAAACTTAACATTTAACTGGTTAACTAATTACATGGGATGTTACATCCCCACTCCAAAGACTATTCTTGTTCTGCCTTGGCCATTAACCTGCTGCCTCTGGAGCGGCACTGGTATCGGTTGTTCATACTGGTTGGTAAGTGGGCTTGGCAGAATTCAATTTTATTCTAATTGGGATGATTTTTTTCTATTTCTAAGGATCGTTTTCTCTTTTTAACTTTATTTTTACAGTCATGAGGGGTAGGATTAGGGGACTGATAACTGGGGAGCTGCAGGGGGCTCCCTCAACTGCAGAGGGGCCCAAAATTTTGAGGCACAAGATGAAAGGAGGGAATGCAGGTATCTTGGCCTGGCAGAGCAGTGACCCTGGGCCAGGACGGTACAGAGCACAATAATCCATGGCTGTGAGGAAGGCCAACCTGCTGCTGAATGGTTCCTGCCCAGATCTGGCTCCAGTTGCTGGAGGGTGAGAGCTGACTCGCTGAGGGCTCCTTACATAGCCACAGGCCCAGTGACCTGAGATCCATGCAGGCACAAGGTCTGGGACACTGCGGAGACCTCTGGTCAGGATGGCAAGGAGAATTCCATGGCCATGGGGGAAGCCACCTCCCTGTTCAGTGGTTCCTGGGGATGGAGGCATTCAACAGCAGGGTGGCGTTCCCCAATTTTGGGGGGACGACCATGATGACTCCTTGCCATCCGGGCTGCGGGGGATAAATGCTCCACCCACCAGGCTAGAGCCACAGCAAGCCTGCCCTTTACCTTGTGTCTGCAAGATACCAGCCCACCAACTCACTCTTCCACATGCTCCTTCATGCAGTCCTGACCAGGGTTCTCTGCTCTATAGGGGCAGGCCAAATGCAGTCACCCCCCTACACTTCATTCCTGCAAGGAACAGGTTTCCTGACCCTGAGGCAGCAAAGGGAGCCTGCTGTAGCTCTGCTTTCACAGACCTGCTCAGTCACTCCAGTAACAGCATGGATACAGAGGGTTCCCTCTCAGGCTGGCTGATTTTTGGTGATTGGGGCTACTACGTCGATACTGCACCCTTCTTCCACAAAAACTTATGCAAATAAAGCGTGGGGTAGAATATCGCCACCTTTCATTTGCATAATTAATTAGGGGCTGTTTTTGCGCAAGAGGCTTTTGTGCAAAAAGGAGCTGTGTAGACGGCTCCTTTTTGTGCAAAAAAACCCTCTTGCACAACAGCTGTTCTTCCTAATTTTTTCAAGCCTCTTGTGCAAAAATAGCCCCTAATTAATTATGCAAATGAAATGTGGCGATATTCTATTCCGTGCTTTATTTGCATAAGTTTTTGCGGAAGAAGAGTGCAGTATAGACATGGCCAATGGTGCTGATTTCAGTGTGCTAGCTGAAATCCACAGTTTACTAATAGGTATAAATTAAAATGGAAGCCTGCCATGCCTATACATAAGCAAAGATAAAGAGGTATAGTCTGACACAGTTTCATGTTAAGTAGCAAAACTTGTTCAAATGTATTGCCAGTTAAGGTAAAATCAGTCCCTGATGGATGAGAAGAAAACAGAATTGCTTTGAATAGCTTTATTATTGTAAAAGACATAATGGAGCAAGTTACTACACTTCCCTGGGTAAATCTGATTCAGACAAATGGAATGTACTGTTTTCTTTTCTTATAGACCAGCTGATTTGAATCTAGCCTTTGAAAGTCACATTCTGAGGCACTTTTTATTGCCAAAAAGATTTAACGTATTCTGTCATAAATTCTGTACAACACATTAGAGACTGATCATGGGTTCTTCTTCTAGTGCACCCGCTTTGGCAGAGCGAGCTTTCCATTCCTGGGGGTACTCGACAGTCTCCAATCAACATCCAGTGGAGAGACAGTGTTTACGACCCTCACCTGAAACCCCTGAAGATCCACTATGACCCCGCCACATGTCTGTATATCTGGAACAATGGGTATTCGTTCCAGGTTGAATTTGATGATTCCACAGACAAATCAGGTGAGGCGTGCTACAAGATCAAGTTGAAGTTATTTCTGTCTGCAACTGAAAAATCCTGTCCATCCCAAACTGTAAGATCTGTCTCAGAATCAGAAAACAAAGGCTGAAAGCTAACTTTAAGTATAACCCCCTTCTAAAGAAGGTGCCTTTTCTCCCCCCTTTTACGGAATAGCTTCTCTCTATGATCAGTATCGCAGTGCATTGATACTGCACAATGTCTACTGAAGTCCAGTATTAAGGGCTTAAGTTGTGCCTTGTGCAAATCTTCTATGCTTAGTGCACAAGCCTTTGCGTTCTTTTGATTTTATCTCATCTTTTTAGATAGTACATGCATGGAAGCACTTGATTTAAAACTGTAATTCTGAAATTAAGCACTAATGAAATAATTGACTGTTTCTATCTTTGTGTTAACATAAAAGTAATGCATTTGAAATAATCAGCTAGCAAGGTGCACATTGCTTTTTGAGGAGAACATTCTGCTGTTAGAACTATTTAATAGGTGCATACTCTTGGGGAAAATAAAATAATGCTGATTTACCAATGTGGTAATTAAATACATGTGATCTAGGTGCTTTAAAAAAAACAAACCTCCAAGTTTTACCAATAGATAGTAGCCAAATGCTTTACCTCTGCTAGATACATTTTTAAATTGGACAGCATATTCAAGTGAGTTTATATTCAAGATATTACAGCTAAACTCAAGGATTTTTACCTCTGGCCCTCTTAAAATTTACTTGACTGACATGTACTAATGCAGTTTTCTGTTATGATTAGGTGTGAATTAGAGATGTAATAGTGTAGTCAATTAACTGATAAGGAAAAGCTTATAGGATAATGCTATAGACTACATGCATTTCCCTCCCCAAACTCCCCACGCACTCACACTGCATCCAGGACCTACCTACCCCTGCTGCAGCTCCACATTTAAAGTGTATTAGGAGGCACGTGGACAGGCAGCCTAGCTCAGTTCCAGCTTGTGCCGGGTCCAGGAGCTCAGACCCACCCTATACAGGGGCTGCTGCCACCCCGCACTGCTGCCTCTTTATCAGAGGCAGCAGCACAGGGTGCCAGGCAGCCGGTCTGTGGCGGGAGCTGGGGACTGTTGACCCACAGATGTTGTCGGACCAGAGAGTCCCAGTTAAGAGAGGTTCAACCTGTACTTTGTGTACAGGCATCATTTGCTACATCTCCTGTACACCATTTCTGAAATCCCTCAGTCTTTCCAAGTTCCTCTTGGAAGTTAAAACAACCTAGTTCACTAATTTAATGTATTTTGGGTCTATATAGAACAAGGAAGTCACACAGTCATATGTTCATATTTTTACAAGGTAGTGTGTAATTGTTTTAGTGTGTTATTCATAGTGGGTCAGTCTAGGATAAATGCATTATTTAGAAACAGCACAAGTTCATTAGTCATCCTATTGTACTGTACTTAGTGCATGAAAACTTGAAGCCTGTTCTGCTTTTACTTTGACAGAGATTTTCTTTTATATACTTTTCAGCTTTCTAAACACAAAAC